CCTAAGCAGTCTATTGTCTTTACTTCTAGAATATCTGGTCAGGTTAATTCAGGCCTCACATATATGGAGTCCATGAATCAGTTTCTGTTCCTAAAGACAGATCCTTTCCCTAAAATACACATGTAAAGCATAAATTATGATGTCATCATTAGATACATAAGCTTAAAACTTTAACCTAACTACTTTGTAACTAAAGTTCATCTAACAATTTAAAATTTAGAACTGGATATGACTATGGCATCCAGAATCTAATCTTTACATATTAGAACCATGAAGTTTTTTCATAACTTTTTAAGCAGTTATAAATTTAACTAAGTAGGATAATATATAACCCTTAAAAATGTCAGTTTAAAAAGGCTTCAAAACAAACATGAGAGATGTTGATTCCAGAGGTAATGCCTAGGTTATTCAGGATTTTCAGGGCAAAGTGTTTCAGTGAATCACGTTTGTTAATAGATTAAAAACCCAAACACTGCTTCTCAGAGTCCAATATTCTAAGAATAAAAAGGTTCACTTAAAAACTGCGCTGGAAATAATAATGAAATCAATTTATTTAATTTCACACTCCACTAGTACTTCAAAACTTATGCATAAAGAAAAGACATAAAGAGATTCAAAGAGGAAGACATAAACATTTTAATACATGTTACATAAGCTCTGTAATATAGGAATAAGATGTATTAACCTCAGAAATACTCTAAAATGGGGGAAAATTAACATTGTGTGAAACTAGATAATTATCTCATTTTCAAAGTTAGCAGAAACTTCTCAGATCTGAATGATAATTTCGTATACCTAGTAGGTAATTATTTTACTCCCCTTTCAAACAGTATTATTGAAAATAATGTCTCAGTACAATACACAAGCCCATTCTTACATATATTTGTATTGGTGACACAAGGAAGAAAAGGCATTTACTTTCAGGGTTACTTAATACCTTCATTGATCACCACTGCCACAAATTTAGTACTATAAGCAATAAAGAAAAGTAGGAAATATCATTTCTTGTTAGAATAGGCAGGGTAGAATATTATGAAACTGTAATTTAATATTCTATGACTTTCAAAGTTATGCAGATAGCATGTGAGAGATCAGCTATCTAGGAAGATGACAAGAAAATCTGCAGAGACAGGCAATGTCACATAAGCACAGAAAACACTCAACAAAGAATTGTGGTTTTTGTAAACAAATACCACTAACTGGTTGGTTAGATATATAAGGTCAGAGATAATGACTCCCATGAGTTAAAAGGATTTTCAATGTTTATATCTCTGTCAGAAAATATTTTAGAAAAGGTAGATAGACCAGAAACAGCATTATATAAGTAAGATGTCTTTGGGGATATTATTGTGTACATACACACAAAGTTCTGGCTACACTTAAAAATCTTGTCTGTGTTATCTTTTCCTTTTTCCATTTTTTAACCATCTACATTTTCAACAAACATTCTGTGTGTCTTCCCTTTATAAGGGTTTTCCCTGATCCTGTTAATTTAATGATAACCAAAAATGATAAAGTCCCTTCCTTTTAAAAGCATACAATGATCACATCAACACACATAAAATACATATAGTTACATATGTATATATAGTTGTACCTATATAGAACTAATAAATTTTAAGAAACAATCTATAGTTATCATTATTTGATGTTAATAAAATAAAAATGAAGTAACAAAATCACAAAATTTGGCGGAATAAAAATAGTAAAGAATATTATCTTAAATTCACTTAGGGACTAAACACTATTCTAAATACATGTGAGAAGTGAAAAGAACAAAGTAAAATTCCTTGATTTATAATAAAATCAATACTAAAATTACAATCTACCTACAAATAATGGATAGGACATGTATTAAAATATGTGATATTCTCAGAGTGGTAAATAAAAATGTGTGTACACAACTGTGTTTATGAACATGAGAACAATAAACCAAAAGAAAGCAGAACAAAAAAGAATAATGTAGACAACAAGAAAATAGAAAAAAAAAAAACATATTAAAAGCAGTACTAAAGCCAAAGTCCATACTTTTCTCTTTTGGTAGACTTGGAGATTGAATCTAGGACACTGCACATGCTAGGCAAGTACTCTATATTCCCAGCCCGAGTCCTGTGCTTTTAAAAGAAAAAATAAAACTGAAATAAAAGCCTTTGGGAAATACTAATGAAAAGGAAACACTCAGGCATTAGATAGGATAATGTACAGATAAAAAAATATAAAACTCTCTTTCTCTCTCTATATATATACATGCATTCATATACATATATATAAACATATGTACATGTTCTACATGTTACATTAATAGCAGAAATTAACACAAATCCTTTCAATTTAATAAAGAGCATCAGGTATCCCCAAAGAAAAAGCCAAGGGAAAATGGACAGCTTATAGTAAAATTATACAAACATACAAATAAATAAGAAATGTGTAATATAAGCCCATAAATTTGTAAACTATGAACCTTTCCAACAAGATGTCTACATATATTTAAGATGATGAAAGATAAGTTCAAAATGTGAATCTTGAACCAGAACAACAATAACAAAAAAAGTAAAATAAAAATAAATACATTGGGTTCTCATATATAACTTCCTAAAGTAAAAAGCAAAAATAAAAATTCAAAAAACTAATGATTAGCAACATGCAATTAACAAAATGAATTTAAAGAAACTAGAATGCAATCTGGAGTGAATAATGAATACAAAATAATTTACGACATGAAGAAAACAAAATCAAAATCTAAGTAATAGTTAGTGTCTTAGAAGTAGCTAATGTAAAAGAGGTAAAAAACTTTTTAAAGACCTAAGACTGAAAATACTCTAGAATTATTCAAAGACTGACAATATAAGACATTTATTTCAGATGAAATCATTCCACATGAAAGCACTGAAATGTAAAAATAGGATGGCAAAAAAGGTAAGTAAATATAAAGCACTGACTGAATGAAATAATTATTTAAAAAGCTTAATTTTTAAGAAAGGCTAGAAGTAATAAGCTAAACAAAAATACCTATTATTTACAAGTAGGATGATCCTATGCTTGCTTTAATGTTTAGAAGATCAAAATTTAGATTTTGCTAATTATGACAGTTAAAATGGCAGAGAAGAGCTTCTAAACAAGAGAAAGGATGAAAGGAATAAAAATAAGTAAATAAAACCAAAAGAAAAGCAATGAATAAAAATGAAAATGAAAAAATTGGCGAAAGACAAATCCTGATTTCTTTAAGTAGCCTTTTAAATGCTGCATACAACTGATAAAGAAAGGCTGAAACTCAAAACAAGATGGAATTCAAGGGAAAGATACGCCAGGAAAGGGGTAACCAGAAAGACATAATATTAATATTGAAAGTGTTAGATTTCAAGTCTAAAAACATTAGCCTAGAGATGAAAAAAGCAAACCACACCATAGCAAAGGTTCAGTTTAGAAGAAAGATAAAAATGTAAATTGTATATACTTTAGTAAAGTAGCTACAAAGTATATAAAGCAGACTTAACAGAACTATAGAGAAATAAATCCATGATCCTAGTTGGAGACTTGAACACACCTCTCTGAGAAGGTAGTACTCAGTCTACAAAATGTAAGTATGTAAAAGATTTAACTGAAAGAAACAAAATCTAATAGATATATAGAAATCATTATACACAATTCTAACATACATTCGTTCTAAAACCATACAAAATATTAAAGAAAGACCATACCAAGGCAAGAATTGTTTTCCTTGCCAAATATAAAAGTATTTATTACATAGATGCCATTCTCTAATCAAACTAAAGTAAATTTAGCAGATTATCTTCCCCAGCATAGCAGAAAACCTCAAAATTATTTTCCAAAGAAAAATAAAGCAAAAAATTAATTATAACAGAAAACAGAAAATGTCATGAATTGAAAGATTGTGAAAATACGTAAAGTCAAGAAATTTGCAATCTTCAAAGTTTATTTCAGAATAATCCAAATGCATATTATTATCTGATAATAATAAGAATTTATAAAAACTAGTACGTTTTCTCTACACAAAAAACAGAAGGCAGGAAATGATCACATTATCACTAGACCTCATTGAAACAGAACATACAAGAGTGGATCACAAAAGCCAATCAAATAATGAAAAAAGAAGAGTAATCAAGGTACGTGTTAATCCACAAGATATCAAGAATACAACATCAGGCTACCATAAAACAGAATTAGATAAGCTCAATGTTGTAGCTCCTTGGGTACACAGCAAGGGTCTTACACAAAACACTAAACAAACATTTGGATCAGTCAAAAAAATTATCTTCTATCTAAACACCTACATAAAACATTGTTTATTGAATTAATCTCAGAATTTTTGCCTCATATGAATTTGGGCAAGCAAACCCTAAGGACTCAGGACATCTACACACTCTCCATTCATACCAGTCCTGCTCTTCTCATGTTAATAGCTTTTGAGTCACTGTAGTTCTTCCCACCAGCACATAAAGATGAATGGGTAATAGAGAGAGCCAGAGGTTTTAAATGAAAAGAATCCAGAGGTTACTCAAACTTGGACCATGGTCAGAAAACAGGTTGTACTTAAGAATTCATAATACGTCCTGCTGGAAAAGAGGAAGTAAGGAGTTAGTCCTCGGAGACCAGGCATGAGGATGAGGTCCTAAGCCTCCACAATAACATATGCTCTTTCCTCCATTCCACTTCCCATTTCCTTGATGAGCAGCAATGCTCAGATGAACAAAGAGGTAGATCAGGGGCCCTACTTCCTTCTACACTTGCAGGTCAGGGACAAGCCTAACCTACAATCTTATCTGCTTTAGAATTCTTGCCCACGCTGCTGTCCCAGTGAGCCAGGTCTACAATGGGATGTGGGCTTCTGGCTTTGGAGATAAGTAGTCTGGGCAGTGGGTAAGTTCAGGTTCCCAGTTTCTCTCTCTGCCTACCTGCCTATCTGTCCCATCTCTCATTCACCTTAGATGGTCTTCCCAGTGTTCTGCTCCACTCCTGGGCCTGGCTGGTGAGGCTTACCATTAGGGATATGCAGACGGAGGGGCAGTTCCTGTGGTAGCTGGGCACTTAACGTCAGACTCAGGGACCAGGGTTTTACCCTGTAGGGTATATAGCAGCTGGAGGAAGGTCTGGTGCCTAGAATGAGGAAGTAGATGTGAAGAGGTGGAATCTCAAAACCACCCACCACCCGAGTCTTCAGCCCAGGCTCCCAGCCTCACTTCTGCAGCTTATCCTGTTCCTGTCCTTCCCGCTGTTTCAGGGTTCCAAGTTCCTGATATAATCGCTCAAGCTCCTGCTGAGTTGCAGTCTGACGCTCCTTTACCTCTGCAGAAATCTCTACCAGATTCTGCAGATGTTCTTCCTGCCAGGAATAAGGGTGCAGACATAGCTTATGAAATATGGATGTCTTACAGCCATTCCCCCAAACCCTCCAGGCTAACCTAGAATAGAGCTCTAACTCACTGATACAAAGATGGACCTAATCACTTTTAGTAGGAGAGGAGTCTAAAAAAAAGAAAGACCCACCTGTTGCAGCTGCCACTGCTTCTGGGCTGCTCTGATTTTCTCCTTGGCCACTTGTTTCTACGGATTAGCAAGGGAAAGAAAGGGAGAAAATAATTGTATTTTTCAGATTTGATCTTTGAACATTGTATAGATCCAACCCAGCTTACTCATTCTTTCCCTTTTCTTCTTCCAGCACTTCCTCCCTCAACTCAAGTTTCCTAGGTACACCTTGGCCTGGAGCTGCTCAACGGCCTCCTGGAGCTGTGTGCTCTTCCTTTGGGCCTCCTCCACCTGGGACAGGACCTTGGTCACAGCACTTCTTATGGCCTCCACATGCTCCTGATAGGTGGCCTTCAGCTCTTTCCATTGTTCCTTGGCTGCAATTGCCTTCTGTCCTAAGGTGAGCCACCAGGAATGAAAGCATTAATTGAGGTTGGCCTGTAGACTGCATCCCTGCAATATTGAGCCTCATAGTCTTCCCATTTTCCAGACAACAGACTTAACACATCCTCCCTCCTTATCCAATCAGGCCAGTCCCTACTCAATCCCTTGAACACTCATACTCACGGTTTGCGTCTTCAGAAATCAAGGGATCCAGGCCCTGGGAAGTATCCTCATGAGTCAGGAAATTCTGTAGGAAGTCTACTACCTGAAGCTGGCTACAAAGCAGTTTGTCCTTCTTCCGGGAGTCCTGTTTAGACAATGAAAGAGGCAGGGAATATCCTTTCTAACTTGCATTACAGGCCAACAAGTTTGCCTTCCATTTGCTCTTTATCTGTGCTGCCCAGTATCCCAACAGGAGGTCCTAGGACCAGTCTTTGGCTTCTGAAAAGTTGGGTCCCATCTTTTACATACCCTCACAAACTCAGCCAGGATTTGGGCTGGCAGCTCTGCCTCTTCTTGCAAGCCTATAAGTTCCAGGATGTCTGCCACTTCAGCCAGGACCCTGGAGGAGTAAGAAAACAGCAATGAAACATGCTATCTTTAGATTACATATGCACATGCACATATGTGGTTGAGCCTATTAATGCTGAAAGTCTCACCCTAACCAAAGTGCTTGAAGGGCCTACAGCCTGGAACCAAGACTGGTATGTGCATGTTACATATGGTGGTAACTAAATGTCATGCGTGGGAAAATCAGCAGGACTTGGGGGCGGGGCATTGTAGTGGCATGGATGAAATTTTAAACAGGAGTGTCTCACCGAGAAAACTTCTTGAGCCAAGATCTGAAGGCAGTCAGGGAGATGTGCCAGGGAAAGGAAGAATAAAAGCAATGCTGCTAGGAGAAGCCCTCCTAGTAGGGATAACTAACCTTGGGGTTGGGTCTCAGAAGACCTGAGGAAGGACACAGGACAGAGGAGCTGGCTGTAGGCACTGGTGTGTGAGTTTTCCATTTACTCCTTACTAAGGGCTGAACCCGTCCACTAGGGGACAGAGATAAGGCTACTAAATCACACTGAAAAGGGGTTGCGTTGAGAAATGAGAAAGAAATTAAGAGGCCCTCTGGCACCGCTCCTGGGAGTGGAAACTCCCTGTTAGAATGGTAACACATGCAAAGGCCTATGGAGGTGACAGGAATGGAACTGTTCCCTCCTAGGACACAATTTTCCGGAGAGAGGGGCTGGCAACAGTCCCTGGCAGGACGTACTACCGGAGAGGGGCAATAGTCACTTCAGGAACCCAAAACTGGGGACTGAGGTCAGGATCAACTCACAGAGGGGTAGCACCCCAACAGCTGTTCAGGGTCTAAAGGACATACGCTATATGTAGATGTCCGCAAGGTCGGCACCAATCGGCTCCCAGCTGTCATATAGCAGCGGATACTTACTCCCGAGACGCCGCCTCCGCCTGGGTCTCTGCCGTCTCCACAGACTCCATAGCAGCGCAGCGCTCAGCAAATTCGGTCTGTTTTGGACTCTGCGCGCCAAGGCAGATGATTGGCTGATGAGTCACAAGGCGGGAATTAGGGAATATCGTGCACTCTAATTGGTAGGCACTGATTCTCGGACCTAGTTTGACGCAGGCGCAGTTACGTCTTGGTGCTGAAGGGCGCGCCTCGGCTCTACGCCTGCGCAGTAGACAGGCGATGGGGGCTGGAGAACGGAAGTGGATCTTGAATGACGCTACACGCTGCTGATTTCGGAGCTTTGTCGCCTTCAGATGGGTAAAAGGAAAAGCTATTCTCTGAGTTTCGATTTCGGGGAAAACAACATGCACGCTTCTTTTCAGAAATCAAATAGTGCAATAGAAACAATGGGGCTGTTTGGCAAACGCTGAGGAATATGTATATCTTGGAGATGTAAAAAACAATATAAGCTCAAAAAACATATTGCTTTCAAAGATTTTTTAAAAAGATGTGATGCAAGGAGAGAAAAGCCAAGCAGACACTAACGGATTCCTTCGTGGGCAAGATAAAGCCGACATTCTGGGGAGGTAATGGTCTCTGCAGAGCATAGGAGAAAGGAGAACTGCTCAGACAGGGAACTTGGATCCCTAGCAGCATCGCAGGAAGTTTCTAAACATGCGTGGAGATCACACCGTTAGAATTCGTGACTATTTTCACTCATCTGCCATAATCCCCGGGCACTGGGTAGACTGCACAGAGGAGTCTTGCTCTGATTGTGGCAATAATTAGTCCTAGACTGAGCATTGCTTTAATTCCCCTAATACCTTAAAAGAAAGGCCCGAATGGATCAAACTGTTAAAAAAAAATCTCTGAAATATGTGACAGACCAGACTATTTTTATAGATTAAAAAGTCACAAACCAATAAAGTACAATTTACAATATTTGTTATGGTTAACAATTACCAAGCTTGATAAAAAGGAGAAAAAAGATTCATAATGAAAAATTTATGAGTGATCAGAACTGAAATAGGTGTAAGAATCAACAAACAAGGTCATTAAAGGAATTGTTAAAACTACGACCCATAAGTTCAAACAGATAAGCAGAATATAGTCAGAAAAGATGTGGAAAAAGGGGGACTTGTATTGTTGGTGGGAGTGTAAAGTGATGCATCTGCTTTGAAAAACTAGCAATTCCTCAAAATGTTGAGCTACTGCCTGAGTCGTAATTTCACTCCTAGATATATGTCCAATATAAATGAAATACATGCACATTAAAACATGTATGCAAATGTCCATGGGGATATTATCTACAATTGCTAAAAAGTAGAACCAATGCATCATGATTTGAATGAATCAACAAAACGTATAACTTTTCAATGGAATACTGTCTGGCCATAATAAAGAATGGAGTACTAAGACATCATAAAATATCAATTAACCTTAAAAAAATGCATAAAGTGAAAGAAACCAGTCAGAAAAATATCTCATATTTTATGATTCCATTCATATAAAATATCCAAATTAGGCAGATTTATAGAAACACAAAGTACATTAATAGTTGTCCAGACCTGGGGGCCACTGGAGGTAAAGCGTTGGCAGACTGTGAAGGGGCAATGCAAATAGATATGAGGTTTATTTTAAAGGGAAAAATAAAAATGTAAAATTAGGTGATGGTGAGTGTTACAAGAAGTCATTCATGTTATGCTTTAAACAGGTGTCAAAATTAAAATGAGACACAAAATAAAATAAAGAACTAAATCAGACTTGTAGAGATGAACATTATGTTGTAACAGGTGAAATCGATGGTATTAATACCACATTAAAGATTGAAAAATAAGATTAATGAAATTAAAAACATTGCCCCAGAAACTATCCAAAATGAGTTACATAATATTTTTAAAAACAAATAAAATGAATAAAACAACAAAGAATTGTGAAACAGTTTCTAATAGTTTGATATACTTGTAAATGGGATTGAATGAGAGGCAGTGGAGAGGACAACAAATTAAGTAACAATAAACAAAAAATGAAATTTGATGTGAATTATAATTCCATAAATCCAAGAATTTCTATAAGCTTGAAACACAAGAAGCAGGAATAAAACCATACCAAGGCAATATCACAATTACATAGCTCTTTCCAAAACTATTGATAAAGAGAAAATCCTGAAACAGCTGTGGGAGGAGAGAGGCACGCTACATAAGTAATGACTATAGGAAATTTCTTGTTACATATAATGCAGTAATAAGACAGTAGAACTTGAATATGGGTGGTACACTCTCTATAGGAATGAATATGGAAATCTTAAACTGGCTGAAACCAACATAAAAGATGGACTAAGGTAGAATGTAGATAACTAGAGTAGATAAACCAGTTGGGAGTATAGCACATACATGCACAGAAATATCACAAGGAAACTCCCTATCTTTATGTCAAACTAGCAAAAATGTCAAGTTTTTATCTTTTTTCTGCAAAATCAGAGAACAGGAGGGCAGAACAGGTCCTGCCAGGGGAGAGGGTTGGCACCAATGAGAGGGGGGAGGAAAAGGGGAAAGAAGGGTAGGAGAGTGAATACAGTGTAAAAAATGTGTACATATGCATGTGAATGCAAAAAGATACCCATTGAAACTGTTCCATGAATCTGGGGAGAGGTGGATAAAGGGAAGAGGTGGAGGGAGTGAATACAAGTATGATATAGTTGATATACTAAGAACCTTTGTAAATGCAACAATGTACCCCTTCCCAGCACAACAATAAAGAAAAAGAAAAGACAGTAGAGCAATATCTTAAGTACTTCTAGAATGATAATAAAAAAGCAAATCAAGCTTGATTTCTATATCTAGCAAACACCATTCAAAATGAAGGTTAACTAAAGGCACTTTTAGAGACATGAAGGTAGAAGGGTTGGTTTTCAGAACGTACTATAAGGTATTTAAAAGAACTATTCCATGCAGAAAGAAAAATGGAATATTGACATCTGAACACATACCAAAGAATGAAAGGAAAGGCACCAAAAATGACAACTTCATGAGTAAGTATAGATTTTCATAATGCTTATTTTTTTTAGAAAAGATAGTGAACACATGAATAAAATTATGGGATTTGAGGTTATAGCACATGTGAAAGTAAAATGTGACAAAAAGCTATAAAGTAATAAGAAGTTAGAAAGATAAATCTGAAACAAATTATGTCTGATACCAAAGACTGCACATTCCATTACATATGCCAATTAGAGTTAGTCCTGAGATATTTTTAGAAATAAAACTGAGCCTTTGTCAAAGGTCTGTTTTTTCTTGTGTCATCAACATCTTACTGTGTACCTGATAATAAGTATTTTTGATATGTACTTGAAGTTGCTTTGTTGTTTTTACCCTTTTAACTTCATGACAGTAGTCCTTTCTGCCACAAAATACTTTAAACCTTGTTTCTGAAATCTTAAAAAAATTTAAAAATTCGTTAATATAAATTTCTTGTACATAGGATTTTCATTATGATATTTTAAATATAAAAAGTATTTGTTGAGAATTTCAGACAGAAGAAAGAGCATATCTTAGTACAATAGATTTTTTAAATACCCTTCAATCAAAACATTCAAATGACCACCATTATTACCATTTTTTATCTTCAATTATATTTTCTATATATGTTTTATATGTAAGGTGAGTGGGTTAGAAAATGAATTTCAGATGATCAAAACCAAAAGTAAATGAGTGGCATATTTCATCAGAGGAAATGATTTGCCCCTTAAAGATGCTTCTAATCACATTTCTTACAGCACAATTTGTGAAAAAGCAAAGAACATGGTCTTTGGAATAAGGGAGACCAAAATTCAATAGCAGTTCAACTTCTTCATGCATGTGTGACTTTGGAAAATTTTCTTGCTGAGAATTTAATTTGTCATTTATTAGGTAAGAATGATGATGATAAAGATATGATATGATGATAATAATAATGAGAAAGTTTTCTGTGAGAAACTATAAAAGGTATTTTTGCAAAATACCTCTACTTATGTTTGACACATAGTGGATATTATTCAATTTTAGCTGCAATTTTTATCAGCCCATTTTAAGAGTTATTTGTAAAGAAAATCCAAAATATGAATAACTTCAGAAATTATTTTGTAGTAATCTATCAGATAAGAACTCAGGAAATACTTAAATGTATAAAATACGGATTCAGTTAATTTCCCAGTTCCAATATTTTGTATGATTAACAATCTTCACCTTTCACAATTTTCTATCATTCATTTTTCAAGTCAACTTGATCACTAAACTTAAAACTCTAATTTTTTATTTCACTAAACCAACACTTTAGAAATACCACCCCAGATGCATAACATTTAGCTCAGAAAGCAACTGCTGATCTTCCATGAGCTACAATTCAAAAAGTCAGTGTTAGTATGTTAGGTTAGCTTTAGCTGTGATTTGCTAGAGTTTTCAGAGGAAGATATTACATTTTGCTTTAGGAGGGATTTTCATGTTTAACATCTAAATTGCAGATCATAAGGCAATTCTTGCCTTGGCTTGCTAGTTCCAGATGGATAGATTCTGACTTACACACTGCTCAATTCCCTATTTAGTCTGTCATTTGTCTAACATTGCTCAGCATCCATGCAATTTGGACACGGACCATCTGAACTAAATTGCAAGGCCCTCATGAGAAAGGATGTCTCACTGGGAACAAATGCCCATGAAAGCCTATTGAATCATTTCGAATCACAGTCTAACCATCCAGCTCCTACCCTTTGTTTTCTAACCTTAATGAACCAAAACACCATGACGAAAGCCTAAAAGCTAAAGGGGTTGTTTTTAAGTATTAGCCTAGATTTTATGTATCTGTTGCACTTAATCATCATGTTTAGGTTGTTCCCAATGAATCTATCAAATTTCAAAGGATATAATTGCATCTTTGTACACAAATATTTCCCTTTTATTTTAAGAATAGTTTTTTGTAACTTTTTGTTGATAACGTAAGTGCTAAGTTGTTTGGTTTTACCATTCTTGAACCATCAAGATTCACCCCTAAACAGCTATTATGTCATAGGTGCATAAAGTGTGTGGTTTGGAAAAGAAAAGAACACAGTGATAATCTGGGATTGTCTGCTGTGGCATTCATATCTGTCTACTCTATGATATTGTAATATTATTATAGAAATAATCCCTATGGAAATTTTGTTTAAAGATGATTATGAGGAAAATCATAAATTCTCAGGTAAGGTTATATTTCCTACAGATAAGGTTTATTAAAAAATAAAATATGTTATTTGTCAGCATATTCACCCTTATATGTATCACAAAAATTCCCTGTCTACAAAACTGTTTGGACTTGGAGAGTTATTTCAGTTTCCCAGTAAGCAAAACTTTGAGAAAATCATGGTGATTATTGTATCGCTTTTCATTATTTCTTTATCTCTATATAAAAGTAATGATGTGCTGATGTTTTACAAGTTTGGGGGATAGTGTTTTAAAATGTTTATTTATGTATTCAATTATTTTTTTGAACTGCTACCTCATTATGTTGCTCAGACTGATCTCAGTCTCCCAGTTTCAAGCAATCTTCCTGCCTCAGCCTCCTGAATGCTGGGACTGAAGACATTCACCACTATATCTGGCTCATTTTCATTTACTTAAAGGTGTCTCACAAAAAGCAAATAAAAG